ACCACCACGTACCAACCCAGAAGCAGCTCCCTCCTCTGCTTGGATCCCATCCTGCAGGCTCAAACCGAGTCCTTCCCCTTCTTCAGCTTCTTGCGTTAGGGAGCTTCTTAGCCAAAAAAAGGAGAAGAAGAACACAAGGTTTTCCCCAATTAAAAGCCACCTTTTTGATGCTCAAAGCTGACCAGGGAGAGCAGAGATGGACGCTGCACTCCCATGGATGGCTCTGGGGTGAACCCAGATGGGGAACCCTAGTATGGAGGAGGCAAACCCCTGCAGCTCCCACTTCCTCCTTGATTCCCACCATCCTAGCCCCATCCAACCAAGGAGTTACCTGCTGATGATGTTTTCCTGCAGCGGCTTCACCTTCATCTCTAGTGACTTCTTCTTCTTCCCTTTTACCACAGAGGGCTGTGCACCAGGATAATACAAAAGAGAAGGAAGCTCATGCACTGGGTTTGATGTCCACAAAACAATAAGGACAGACACAAGGGTCAGAGCATGGAAAGGACTGGCTAGTACCTCCACTGTGCATGGCATCTCCTCTGCTTCCTTCTTCATCACCTTTCTCCTGGGTGCCTTCAACTCCCCGTCCTTATTCCCTGACTCTCTCTTTCGCTTCCTATGGACAAGGGCAAATATATCCCACTGAGGCCAAAGAGGCCATTCCTTCAGCAAACCCCTTGGTGGTGAGGATAAACCATGGTGTGATGCTACCTTATGTCCAAAAGCACCAAAATGGGCTCCCAAATGGAAATTAAAGGGATTTCCCTGCTTGTCACTTCAGGGCTGAGCTGCCCAACAGAGCCACCACCACCAAGTGTGATAACATTATGGTGGCCCCCCAAAAATACCCTTCCATACCCCATAGAACTCACCTGCTGCCGTTCTTTGCCCCACTGCCCCTTGAGACCCCCATGGCTCTGTCATCCACCAGCTCTTCAAGATGTGTTATGGGATTAAAGCAGCATCTCAAGGATGGTCACTGCAATGACACGAGAGAACTCATGGCTGGTAGCACCCCAGTTCTGCTCTTGAAGTAAACCCCAACAGATGCTTACTCCACAGCTCAGTTTGCAACTATGGGATCAAGATCATTTTAACAAGGATTTGGGGATCTCAGCATGGAGCAATGCCTTATTTTGCCCCCAAAATCCAACATTTTGGGGCACATTTTGCTGGGTATCATCCCCTTCCCCACAGCCTTCTTCAAATGGAAAAGCCTCGAGTTCTGTCCCTGAGCTGCTGTTGGAGGTGGTAGAAGCAAAATTGCTGCTAAAACAGATAGCAAGTCCCCCCAGACTCACATATCCAGGTACAGGGGTGAATTTGCACCCTCAGAACTTGCTGGGTATCCAGCAAGTGTTATCCAGGCCTTAATTACATTCAGAAAGCAACCACGCTGGAACTATAATGAAACACAGCTGAAAGACAAGAGTAAAGATGAGATATTGAGTCCCCCACCAAAGCAGGCAGCTACCACCTCTCCTATCCTCACAGCTATAGCAACCAGATCCCCCCCCCAAAATCACTGCTCCCCTAGAAGCTCAAGGCCTCAAAAAGCACAAAAGAAACTCAAACAGCACCAAGTTGGTCCCTATCTATGAAGGTTTCCCAGCAGTGGGGAGGAAAGGGGGCTTCTCAAAGAGAGAACAAGCTACAAAGCACCACAAGACATGCTGCAAGCTTCCCAAGGAGTAGAAAACACATTCAAACCCTCTATGTTTTACCACCTTTACCAAGCTGTGGGTACTTGTGGCTGCTGGTGGAACCACACTCACCCAGGACAAGGCATTGCTCCAACAAAGCATGGTACAAGATCTTACCCCAGCTGCCTCCCAAGGGAAATGCTCCCCCTACAAGTCTTATTTAAAGACTCCCTCAGCCCTGATTGGAGGCTCCCAGCTCAAGATGCACCCTGGGAAATGGAGTTTTAGCCCAAAAACTGGAACTGAGGGGAATCCCCTAACCAACATCTCAACAAGGAGAGCTGCTGGGAGGAGAGCGCATTGCACCACTCAGGTGTGGGATTGAGCCAAATGCTTTGCTTTAAAGCAGCTTAAGGAAAACCACCTTTCATGTGATAAACCCCTCTTCAATTAGTAAATTAGCCCCCAAATCCAGCCTTGCTCAGCTGCCTCTTACCCATTAAAGCCCCATGGTTGGGTTTAGAGAGGTCTTTGAGCCCAAACTTTGGAGGCAGAGATGCAGTCCTGCAGGGTACCATAAACTGGTACTTACAACCCTCATCCTGAAGCACTCACTCACCCATCCTGCCCCTCTCCAGCCCTGTTCATGCAGGTGAGTCCATTGCTTTCACCTGCCCACTTTGCCATCAAGCAACTCATCGCAGCTGAGCTTCAATTGGCATCAGCCATTCCCAATCTGGTGCAAGCAGGGAAGAGAATGATGCAAAGGGACGTTGCATAGCAAAGGTTGCCCCAAAATTCTGGGTTTTGAGGGAAAAAAAAAGGCATTGCTCCATGCTTAGGTCCCCAACCAGGGCACGTAGCGGGGCCACGCGTTCCCCTGGGAAGGTGCCACCTGGTTCTTCCCAATGATGCTCCCGGTTTGTGGCCGGGAGCGGAAAAGCCCAGAGGCAGGGCTGGCTCCAGGAAAACCTCTTTGATCTCCATTGCGCCATCCCAGGAAAAAGCATCCAAGCCACCTTTCTTGCTGGATGAGTAAAAGTTGTCAAGGGATGGGAGCCAGCCCCGGGGTAGGGAGCAGGAGAGGACGACTTCGTGCTGGGGCTTGCTCCCTCTTGGCCGCTTTCTGCCAAGCCAGGGACTCGTGTGTGTTTCGTTTTCTTCCCTCTTCCCCCATGGATCCCATCTAGATTTATGGTGCAGGTTTATCCCAAGCTCCCCATGCCATTTGGGATGTTCATAATGGGAAGCAATGGGGTTTGCAGTGGGTAAACTGGGATAAACCACTCCTAACTTAGACCAGCTCCAGTTATAGGTCCTAACCAAGCACAACCTGGGTTAGACCTCTTAATGACTGAGTTTTATGCCATTTCCCTTTGCAGATGGCCTTCGGGATGGGGGAGATGGAAGTGGGATGGCTCCATCCAGGGCTCTGCAATGGGGAAACGTGGACCACAAAAGGAATGTGGCTCATCGTTGGGGAAAACCAGGCTGCAAATGGGGTCTCTGCATGGTCCAGTGACACCACAGTGAGCTGTTGAGGGATGTATAGGTGCTAATATCCTATGAGCTGTCAATCACAGCTCCTTCATTAGCTTTAGTAGAGGAATAAATACCTCTTCCTGCACACCCTCTGCTGTGTAGACAGTTGCAGTCACACAATTAAAGCACTTTTCTTTGCAAACTGCTGCAATATTCATCCAGAAAAGCATTGCTGCTATTCCAGATTAATCAGTAATTCCACTTTGTTGGTCCAGCAGCTCCTTTAGGATTGGGAAATCCAGAAGGGAGAGAGAAATCCTTCCTAACACACTCCCTTGTGTGGAATCGCACAATCCTTGAAGCCCCAACAAGGAAAAGCTGGCTGGAAAAGGTGGAAATGGTTTCATATATTTAGCCAGCTCTAGGTTTATTCAGTATAAAGGGGTTAATGTACGCTGGGATAATTTGTTTGCCCTTGTTAAACAGCACAGAGTTCCCTGTATCCTGTTGACATGAGTAAGATTCATCACACACAAGCGTGGTCTCATTAACTTCATTATGAAAACGAAGCTAGATCCTGATAAAGACTTAAGGGACCTTTGGGTGGTGACACACACAGGTGACAACCAGCTCAGCATCCCCATGCTGGGCGCTGTATCCGTTACAACCCTGTATGCACCTTGGGAATGGGATTTTCCCAACTCTTGGATATTTTTCCATAATATTTTATCGGATTTAATACTGTTGCTTAGTCTGACTCTTATGATCCCGATTGAGAGTAAAACCCTTCTATGGTTCAACCATATGGCTCAGAGGAGGGAAAATGGGGTAGGGTTTGCTTATATCTGCCTGGAAATAGCAAGAAATTGGGGTTTACCTTATTTCATCATATATTTTTGTGTTATATTTTGTATTATATTGTGTTTTGTACTAGAGCAGCATCTTATAGCCATAGCAGGGCAAGGGCACAGCAGTCCCGGTGTTGCTCCAGCAGCTGTGCGAGCTGCAGTGCCCCCCATCCAGATGTTTTGGGGTTCATTTGGGGGGGGGGGAAATGATGCAGCCAAGGGACCACACAGAGAGCACCTGGAGCATAGCATTGGGCTAGAAGGCTGAATGGAGGCGCCTGTGGGTGCTCCCTTATTGCACCCCACACCACAGCAGCCCAGATGTTGCGGGGGGGGGGGGAAGAAGCCAAAGAGGGAAGAGCGGGGATTAAGGGGGGGGGGGGGGCATCCAGATGTGTCCAGGATGGGGGGGATGCCGGCTGGAGGTGGGATCAACCAGATGTGGATGGGGTGGGAGCGGTCACGCACCCAGACGTGGGGCGGGCCCCCCGAGGGACGAGGCGAAGCCCCGCCTCCCCCCCGTGACGTCACCGGCGTTCTAATTCCCTCCGTTGCCACGGGCGACGGGCCCTCCGCCCCTCCCCTCCCCTCTCCGTTGCTCCCCCCCACCCCTCTCCTTTCTCTCCATTGGCTATCACAGCCGTCACTCAACTCCATTCCCCTCTCCCATTGGCTAAAGCTGCTCTTAGCCCCGCCCCACAACCCTGCTTATGCCCCGCGCGGCCCCGGGGCCGGCGTCGCGTTCGCTCCCGGTCGGCAGCGCCCGGCGGTGGGGCCGTGAGGGGCGCCGAGGGGTGAGCGGGGCTCAGGGCAGCCGTGGTGTGGGGTTACACCCCCTAAGGGGGGCGGCTGTGGGGCTTCCCCTTGTCTGGGCTGGCTCTGTGACGGGGGGGGGACTGTAGGGTTTGCCCCCCCCTTCGGCTGAGGTAACGCTGCACGGGGGGGGGGGGGGGGGGTCTGAGGGGATTTACCCCCTTTACCCATGTAGGGCAGCTCTATAAGGGAGTTCTGTGGGGGTTTGCCCCTATTCCCTAGCTGGGGTAGCTCTATAAGGGGGTTCTATAGGGGTTTCCCCGCTATTTGGGGTAGCTCTGTAAGGGGAGGGTCTGTGGGGCACCCCCGTTTTGGGGTATATATAAGGGGGGGTGTCTGTAAGCTTTGCCCCCCCCCCCATCTTAGCTCTGCAGGGAGGGTTTATGGGGCTTTGCCTCCCATATGGGGTATCTTTGTAAGGGGGTCTATAGGCTTTTGCTTTTCTTTTACCCCCACCCCATTTGGGTACCTCTGTAACTTGGAGGGGGTGGGGGGCTGTGTAGTTTCTTCTCCTCTATAGTAACTCTGTAAGGGAGGTCTGTGGGGTTTGTCCCCCAATCTGGGTTAACTGCAAGAGGGGTCTGTGGGGTTTGCCCTCCTTTACCCGGCCCCCCCAGCTGGTGTAGCTCTGCAAGGGGGCCTGTGGGGTTTGCCTCCCCTTATAGAGGGGTTTGTGGGGCTTCCCCCCTTCATACTGGGTGTCTCTTCAAGAGGGAGCTCAGGCTGTGGGCTTAGATCTAAGTAACTGTTATATGTATGGGGACTTGTAGCATAAGTGAGCAAGGGCTAGTGGGGGTTTGAGCCCCCCATATAGGGCAGGGCTGGGCTCTGAACCTCCTTCAAGGGGTTAGCAGGGTGTGGGGCTACCCAAGGAGAGGGCCTCGATCCACCCAGTGAGGCCAGGCAGGAGCCCCCTCATTCAGCCTGTGGATGCTGCGCTCCTGGAGATGATGCCACCTGAAGAGGAGAGCCCTGATGGGGAAGGGGACAGGGACAATGCCCTTGTCCTCCTGCAAGGTCTGAAGAGCAGCAGCACCCGGAAGGTGAGGCACCGCGGTGGGGTGCCATGGTGGGGGGTGCAGGATGGCAAAGCACCCAACTGATGCTATATGGGGCTGGGTATCCCTGTTTGGGCTATGGGGATGGTGGTCCCCATGGGTGGGAGTTCAGGTTCATCCTGGCTATCAAACCATGCTGAGAGGGTCAGGGTACAGTTTGATAGGTGATATAAATGTGGCCATGTGCTCATCCATAAGCGGATTTACACAACTGTCTCTTAGCTCATTGTCTCTTAAACTCCACTCCTTTACCTCTTTTTCCTCCACTAATTCTGAGCTTCCTACTGACTACTTTTAACCAAATTCTCCTTTAGTTTGGTGTTTTCTCCTTCTTGCCCATAGGAAGATGGTCCAGCCCAGCACTGCCTGTCCCTCTTGCTGTTTGAGATGTATTGTTCACGGACAAACTTCTCCCTTGGGAAGTTTGCTGTACATGTGAGATGGGGCTGATAGCCTGTTGCCCTCACTTGTTTAATCAGTAACAGCATGGTGAAGCCAGTAAGTGTTGTCCTCAGACTGTGACCAACCCCACTGATTGGCTTCCCTATTGTCCCTTGGGTGTCAGTGCATGCTCCTGGGGTTGAGGAGGCATTAGGGTGTGTTTCTTGCAAGAAAAGGTGGGTAAATGCTCTCTTTTGGGGTCGTTTAAGCAGTTTTCCCGTTAGGTCTGCGCCCTGGGAGCCAACTTTATAAACCTGCACTGAATTTTCCCTGTAATCTGATCTCTCCATGCAAGTCTGTAATTTTCAGAACCCGTTCTTCAGCAGAGACCTGCACTTCTGCAGCCCTTTGGCAAAGAACAGAGCCCAAAAAACAAATAAGCAAAACTACAACCAGGCTCTGTAGAGGTGGTTTATTTTGTGCCTCTTTCCTGAGTGAGGGTTGAGATTGCAGCCAGGGCTGAACAAGGATCAATCTGATCTTCAGTCACTTGAGCCTGGACTCTCCAGCTGCAGCTAAAGAGGTTGCAACCTTAAACCAGGTTGGAGTTTATGTAGGGCTTGTCTAAATAGGTAAGGGGAGATTAAGAGGACTTTGTTTTACCAGTTTATTCTGTGTATGGACAGGGTTTCCTTTATATGAGCAATTGGTTTACCCTGTTTGGACAGAGAATAACATAGGAAACTATTACAGCTCTTTGGGGGGGGAACTGGCAGGGTATCTACAGCGTCTGTCATAACATGATTGCTTTCCTCGTTAAAAAAACAAAGCCCCTGATTAGATTTCCTGTTAAAGATACCAACTTTTTATTTCAAAGAAATGATCAATACAACCTCCTGTAGTTGTTTGGTTGTTATGGGGCCGTTGCACATTTGCTTACTTGCAGGGGATCCTGCCCACTGCTGTGCTGGTGATTATTTGCTTTCTCTGCTAGGGTTCATGTACTGAGGCTGAAGATTTAATACATCTGTTTCCTGCTGGCACCCTGCCCCAGCTCTCACGATGCCCTGAGCCTCCCCCAGCTCTCTAAAGCAGCTTCACCCTCCTAAACTGAAGCTGAATACAGGTTTTGCTGTTTAAAGCCTCCCAGTTCTCCCATATCTTTATTTTTCTCCCTTCACCACTTTATTTTTCCTTCCTCTTCTGAGTGCATTAGCCAAGAGCGAGGCACTTTGTTGGGCAATGTAAAACCTTAATCCTCTCCTCATTTGTTAAAAGGCTGTGGTGATGTAACCATATTCTCAATAAAAGGTTTTAGAGGTTTTAGCTGGTAATGTCTCCCACAGAAACCCAGCTTGTAGCTAGAGTGCTTCATGAGATTAGGGTAGTGATAGGGACTTTTCTATATAAATACATGTTCAGGGAGCAAAAACTGCTTGTTGTGACTTAACTGTTGCTTATAGTAATAGCTCATGTTCTTCTCTGAAATTGGAGAAGGAAATCATTGATAATCTTTTAAAAAGGAGGATTTTAAAGCCTGCTTTTGTATGTGGAGTGTGGCTTTTGTTTTGCTCTCTAGCCCATGGGCTAACAAAGCTAAACCAGGGTCACTTGGCCACTTGTCCTGTGCAGGCCTGCCATAAATTTGTGGGTTGCAAAGGGGAATAATAATCCCACTTGACAGCTCTGGCTCTATCAAAATAACTTGTAAACCATCATAGTTCTGGAAATAAAGAGGTGCTGAGAGCTTGATGATCCAGTTACCCTGTTTCTACTGCATGTTTTCCAGCTGCTGGATCATCTGTGTGCTAGGAAACATCCCTTTTTGGGGGTCAAAACTGAGTGTCAGGGAATATTATTGCCCCTGAGAGAGGAGGAGAATAAGTAACTGCATGTTTTATATTGAGTGGGGGGTGTTGTAAGCATTTACTGGGTAAAACCTGCAGGTTTGGGGTTGTTCTTAGACACCATGTGCTCATGACCACAGGGTTGAGGCTTGTGGATCAAGGATACCTCTGTTAATGACACAGTGACTTGTAGTAGTGCTTCCCAGAGCTGTAGCAATTGCTGTCATAGAACCATAGACTATTTTGGGTTGGAAAGGACCTTAAAGCTCATCCAGTTCCATCCCCTGTCATGGGCAGGGACACCTTCCACTAGAGCAGGTTGCTGCAAGCCCCATCCAACCTGGCCTTGAACACTGCCAGGGATGGGGCAGCCACAGCTTCACCAGGCACTCTGTGCTAGCACCTCACCACCCTCACAGGGAAGAACTTTTCTTGCATACAACCTAAACTTCCCCTGTTTCAGGGAAACCTTGAAACCCATCACCCCTTGTCCTATCACTCCAGTCCCTGATGAAGAGTCCCCCTCCAGCATCCTTGTAGCCCCCTTCAGACACTGGAAGCTGTTCTGAGGTCTCCACACAGCTTCTCTTCTCCAGGCTGAACAGACTCAACTTTCTTAGGCCGTCATCTTTGACTGTACCTTGTCTCTGCACAGATATTTTACTCTAGTTTTAACTACAGAGCAAATGTCGATATTCTGGAGTTTGCCTTGATGCAAGCTATGTGAAGTGGAGAGCAAACACAGCTTAGACTTGACAAAATGTCATGGAGTTGGTCATCACTGCTTGAATTGCACTTGATGGTTGTTGCTTGACCTGCCATGCTCTGATCTTTGGCTCTTCAGTAATCATTTCTGCTTGGGTTGAAGGCTTCCCGGGTGCAAGCCAAGTGATTTCCTTGTTCTTTAGCACCTCTGTGCTGTTTTAATTCCATTGTGAGTGCAGACTGGTAGTGCTGGGTTGGTCACTCGGTGGTGGTGAATGCTGGAGGAGCTCACCCACTTAACAGCTTTGAAGCCTGGGGACCTTAAGGGTTAGTAGCAAACCATCCCCAGCACTGGCATAGTTTTTCATTGCCCATGAATCCTGGTCCTACCTAAAGGAATTCTCCTTTGGATGAAAGAACAGTTTGCAGATGGGATGATGCTTGGAGTCCAGTGGTTGTGGTAGCTCTGTCTGAAGTGTAGCCCTCATGGGTAGTGGGTGTTAAACTGAAATATCTCAGGCTTGTTGTAGCCCTGCTTGGCTTTACCTTCAGAGTTCTAGGGTTTATTTACTGTATCCTGTCTGCCTGTTCTCTCCCTGTGTGTGTAGAAGGAGCACCTGCGGTGGCTCTTGTGGGAACTACTGGGGTAGGGATGAAGTGGAGGTGAGATGTGGATCCAGGCTCCAGAAGAGCTGCTGCCATTTCATCTGAGGGGTGTATTTGTGCCCTGAGCAACCAACCTCACCTATTGCTTAGTGAAGAGGGAACAAGGGAGCACTGAAGAGGTTAAAAGAGTGAAATCCCAATGGGTTGTCCAACAGGAAGATGAACTATGTCCTCTTCCTTCAATGGGGAAGGGCTGAATAGTAACTCTTATAAAATCATAGAGTAGTTAGGGTTGGAAAAGACCTTAAGATCATCTAGTTGCAGCTCCCCTTTTGACTCCCTTCCCTTAAATAAAGCAATAAGCTGTCTATTCCCTGGGAGGGATAATTTATACAGTTAATACAGAATAATCCTCAAGGATTTAGGGAACATATGCAGCACTTTGGGATAATTGAAACGCTGAAGGCAGTTGAGGCTTCAGGAGATGCAGCAGTGGAGCATCACTGGTACCTTTCCCAAATGCAGCCGGGTTATGCTGAACATCCTCGTGATAACCACAGTCTCCCGAGTTGGTCTCAACAACAGAAGCTGAGATGGACCTCGTTCTGCCTTTGGTCCTCAGCTATGTCCCTAAACTCTGGTTGTCTGATTATCAAACACATCAGCTTTGCATTATGAGACTAGGGGTAAGCTCATGTTGCTGGCCATGGGGTACTCGGCCTGCAGTGCAGATGTACCCATATGCAGTGCATGATTTTAATGACAAATCTCAGTGCAGATAACTTGATTTCCATCAATGTTTCCATCCCATATTGAAAAAGAGGGGCAGAAATGCCTGACTCTGAAGCAGCAGCTCATCCCTTACATGTTGCATTGCCTGGCACCAGGGTTCACTTTATCACTGCCATGTGGGCATGCAAACAGCTGCTGCTGTGCCCCCCTTGCAGCTTTCTCCTTGAACTTCCCTGTCCTTGGGGATTTGAAGGTTGTCCAGTTGGAGGTGATGTCTGTAGGGCCTGTGTCAGCACAAGGTAATGACTCATGTCTTGCCACTGACATATTATGGATGTCACCAGACTATGTGCAAATTAAACTTGAGCTTCTCCTATTCTGTGGGTGCTCTTCAGCTGTTCCAGTTTTTAGAAGCCTTGATGGTGACTTTTGTGACTAAAGCTGGTCTTGGAGATCATAGAATCCCAGACTGGGTTGGGTTGGAAGGGAGCTTTAAGCTCATCCAGCTCCAACCCCTGCCACGGTCAGGGACACCTTCCACTAGAGCAGGTTGCTCCAAGCCTCTGTGTCCAACCTGGCCTTGGGCATTGCCAGGGATGGGGCAGCCACAGCTTCTCTGGGCCTCAGCACCCTCACAGGGAAGAGCTTCTGCCTAAGAGCTCAGCTCAGTCTCCCCTCTGGCAGGTTAAAGCCATTCCCCTTGGCCTGTCCCTC